GAGAGAGAGAGAGAGAAGGGCAATACTAGAACTTATTTTGTTTGGGTGGATTTGAATTTTTTTTTTTTTTTAAGGGATGGCACTAGTTGGATGCCCAGACCGCCTTGACCGCCTAGGCACCAGCCTTAAGCATGCTCGCCCAAACCTCACCGCTTAGCTACACCTCATATAGTTTGTCGGCTAGGCCGCCTAGGCGGCAAGGCGGCTGAATTTTTGTTCACTGGGCATGATTGATATCTATAAACCATATTGAGGGGGAGTGTCATGAGAGTGATTATTAAAGGCTTCTTTTTTTTTTTTTTAGAATGTAGTGATTATTAAAGGCTTACTCATCATTATATTGTATATAAGCCTCTAAGGATTTATTTATCCTTTTTTATCACAAAAGGACATTCTTGTACAGCAAGTAAATCTTTTATAGTTAGTATAAACATATGAGCGGTGTCGGAGGTCAGTATGACCTAACATCACCTTCTCTATTTCTTCCTCTCTGTGTTTCCTTCCTTCCTATTTTCCTCTCACTTGGCACTCGATCTGTTCGTCTTTTTTCTTTCTTTTCCTCATCCATTGATCATTTACTGTTGTATTGTGACTAGTATTTTTCAGAGACAATCCATTGGTATAATTTCCTTGGTGGTTTATGTTGAAGATATCATCATTATAGGGAGTGATCAGGAAGGAATTAATAAATTAAAAGGATATCTACATCAGTATGTTAAGACAAGATTTGGGACAGCTAAGTATGATATAGGCCTATCCCAAAAGGAAATATGTAATAGATTTGTTGACAAATTAGGGATGTTTGGTGCCAAGACAGTTGATACACCAGTAAATCCATGTGCTACATTATCAGTGAAGAGTTATTTGAAGATCCAGGCAGATAGAAAAGGCTTGTAGGTAGGCTTATCCATAGTTATCGAGATCAGCACTGAGATCAAATCCCTGATTGGGATCGGAAACGTGGGATCAAGAGATGCATGAAAATCCGTGGTATAGGGATCAAGATCCTTACATCAGAGATATGATAAAGTATATCAAATTTATCAGGATCAAATGATAAAGTATATCAAATTGTAGTCCCTGGCATGAAAGAAGCTCTAGAGTTTAATGGAAATTCGGTGTCCTTGTTTTCCCTCGATTGGATCCCTTTCACTTAGATACAATTTTAGGCATGCAACTGGTCATACAACCTCCCTAGTTTCACAGGAAAAAAAAGGTCCGAGGGCAAAGAAAGGGTCACACTACAAGGTAGGTCTCTGCAATGGTTGATATAGTTAATGAGAGTGCTTAGAGATAAAGATCAATTGCATAAATCTTATAGATGTTCCAGTAAGTGAAATGCAATGGATTGAGGGTAGGACATGGAGCAAGTTTAGCTGCTCTCCTTCATCTACATGCTCCATAATGTAATATGGCGGCAGCTTGTATGTTATGGTGTTTATTTTTGTAACTTACAAATTCAAAGTTCAAACTATAAGCTTCAAACCCTGGTTGCCATTGTGGGCATTGGGACTGTTTCTCAAATAGTTCACTACACCAAAAGCCAATTTAGATTTTAGAATTTGTAGATAGATATGCTCTTGCACACAGAGAGAGAGAGCGAGAGAGAGAGAGAGAGATTATGAGCAAGGGAGTTGGAGAGAGGGTAGGTTGGGGAAGACGGGGTTGGTCAGTGCATGAGACTCGAAATGTGCTAATGATCTTCGTTATCAATGTCAAAGAAACTTAATTTCACATTGGTGGAGGCTCGATTTCACCTACTCATGAACGCATGATATAGATAAGAGGGATCTGGATCCCATTAACCTGGGAGCTGTATCCTCAATTTTGAGGATCGAGATCCCTAAATTTAACAAACGTTTGGAATTGAAATTCTTTATCCCAAAGCGCAGGATTGAGCTCCTAGAGTTGGAGCCAAGGTTTCAAAATACGCTAGGCAGCTGGCCTGGTGCCCACCCAGCGCCCAGGCAGGTGCCCAGAACCTTGGGCGCCATGTAGTACAAATTTTATAGATATATAATATATACATATATCTGTGTCAGTTTTGTAATTTATTGCATTTGAAAAATATTGTAACAAGCTTTATACAATGTTGAGACTCGAGAATAAACTTTATTAGGAATGTATTAGTAATAGTCTTCAACTCCCCATATTCTATAATAAGTGGAAAAGATTAAGAAGCTTATTCAAACCACAAAAAATACTTTTGATTCTCAGAAATAGGCAAATTTCATAATAAGTAGAAAAGTTTAAGAAGCTTCTTCTAACCACAAAAAATACTTTTGATTCTTAAAAATAGGTATAACTAAAAAGGTGTATGGAATTATTCTTTTAACTTTGGGGCCAAAATTACCCCTTTTGCCATTTTGGGTATCTTAAAAAAAAAATTAGTAAAAAAAAAAAAAAAAAAAAAGGAACCTCCTAGGCCTAGCCATACGGTGCATAGGGTCTTGGGCACTTAGGCGCCAGGCAGACCGTTTTTTGAAGCATTGGCTGGAGCTACCAGCTCGTTGGGAGATCCTAGTAACTATAGACTTATCTGCCTGACAATAATCCCGCCAGACATAGCCTTTGCAATGAGTGTAGCAAGTCAATTCATGCATTCTCCTGGGACACTTAGCTGGGAGGTAGTGAGAAGAATAGTGAGATATCTTAAGGGAACAGATTTTAGTTGTTAGATCTAGCGTAGAGGCTGAATATAGAACAATGTGTTACACTACACGTGAGCTATTGTGGCTGTAAACCTTGATGTAAGAGATGGGATTCACAGTGATTGGGCCAATGAAGATGTTATGTGACAATCAAGCAGCCATCCATATGGCTAGCAACCCAGTATTTCATGAGAGAACAAAGCATATTAAAGTGGATTTCCATTTTAGTATGTAGGCATATAACTACTCCATATGAGAAGTCAATGGATCATTTGGTAGATATATTTACCAAGGCTCATGGCTGTAATCAAACTCAGCAGATTTGTTCCAAGCTAGGCATGGGTGACATCTATGCTCCAGCTTGAGGGAGAGTATTGAAGATCAGATTATTTTGGTTCTTTACTATGGATTGTGGGGCATTCTTATCCTTTTTTATGTACTTAAAGACATTGGTGTTATTCATATTTGTCCATATTTTAAGATGTGTGTGGAGGGCTATCTAACCCCATGTGAGACTCCCTCCGGTCACCTCTCTCTTGCCCCTCTCCAACTTGCTCTCTCTCTCATGTCTTCCACTTATCTCTCTCTTCGTTCTTTGTGGAACTATGCTTCTAACACAACATTCTTCACCAATTTTGACAGACCTATTTCATTACCAAACCACCTAGTCTACTTTCACCCCCACCATTTTGGTCCTCTCATTATCCGTTCAGTTCTAGCCCTGTTGGTATGCAACACTTACGAGGGAGGCTTTAGCCTTCGGCTATGATTCATCTAATAGTGGCTTCAGTTGTGCATGGGGTTTGTGGTTCTCTCACCTCTGCTATTAGCCGGTATATCTTGAGTGCAAATCAAAGGTTTCTTTCTTGTATAGAAAGTGTACTTATCAATCCGCATCATTGCGATAGGCCAAAAGCAACGAATACACTTATAAGAAAAGTCCTGGGAGGAACCTTTGTGGGGTGATGCTAGTCAAGAGAGTTGGCACATCTTATAGGCAACACTGACTAATTACCAACCTAAATATCTATCCAACAAAAAAAGAAAAGTAATGGCCAACCAAAAAGATCAAATAAGTATTACTATTGGATGGAAGATAAATGAAGGTAAAAATGTGCAAATTTCAAGATAAACATCAATAAATTATACTATTAGCAGCTATAAAGATTAGATAGCCCAAGTATTACTCTCTCTATGAGCAGCAAATCGGGGGCCAATGTTGCAACTACCAAGAGGGTTCCTCTACAAGAAATTGCGACTAAATACAAAAAGGAAAAACATCATGCTTGTCTATGAATGAATTATAGTCGATTCATGTTCATAATACATTCTGCATATTCCTTTGTCAACAGAAGGCAGAGATTTTCAAAGACACATGCAGAAGGAGAAAACATAAGGGCAAAGCAATACTCATGTATTATGCCTTTCCTAACCGAAACATTACTTATTAGCCAAAATGCGAAGCAACAAAAGGGATGGGTCTTAGTCAGGATACCCAGCTCGAGAACACGCACAAAAAATAATGCCATACATGATTACGTCACTCAAAAAAGAAAAAAACTTCCATTCTCCAGATCAGTTTTGATTGAAACTTCAATCCCAATATGGACCAGTTACTGTAAGAAAAGTGATTTTCCTTTTCTTTTTTTTTGGTTTTTTTTTGGGCAAGGTTAAAATTCTTATACCAAATGAAGATAGCTGTTCAATACAATCTGCCACTGCACTCATGGGATCCACAATAGCAATCCTTCTTCTTTATATTACCATCAGAATCTCGAACCTGGTCCAAAGTATAGTTGTAATGATACGTCAATTCCTGTAAAGGAGGAATGTTCTCAGCCGCAAAAAGCATGATATGGGGCATAGTCTTGTCATGATGATCATAGAGCACATTTTGAGCATAGAGGTTTGGCGAACAACTGTGATTTATAAACCTTCCTACATTACCATACTCTGCTGCATCAATTGTGTAGCCTACATCCTCCACAACATCACACGCTGTGCTCAATTGCATGTCAGGTATTAGAGTAGAGAGTCCGTCCCAAAGCGCATGGTCACTATAGTTATGCCCAATATCAAACAAATACTCATCATTTCCAGTTCTTTGCTCTGCCTCTGTATCTCGAAGAAGCTCACCAGTATACTCACATATGAAGCTTCCCGATGGGATAGATATCATGGACCTCACACCCCACCCTCTATTCTCTGTCTTGAAAATCTCTAGAGGGAATTTGATTCCATGTTGGCTAACTCGATTATGGCAAGTTAGGGGGCACCTGCACTTTGGCCCACATTCATAAACTATGGGTTTTGCCTCTACAATGGCCCCATTGCGGTTGAAGGGGAGTTCACCACCATTCTTGACTGCACAAGCACAAGTCTCAGAATCAGAGCAACCATTAGTGCATTCACAACCCTCCCCAGGAATAAGCTTATACCAAGGTGGGTATATCATCTTGGTTATGTATTTGAATGGTGTGGGTAGTTCATCATCTATAGTGTTCACAGAACAAACCGATTTCGCCTCTTTCCCTTCAGAAATATCTTCGATACATACTCCCTCACGCCTCTTCAATTTCTTCGACTTGCCCACTTGTTTGGCTAGTTTCCAAGCAAGCATGGGTTGTCCAGGCAATCTTCTTAGCTGGAATTGGTAAGTGCTACAACCCTTGGAACCTGTAACCGTCCAGAATTTTTCAACTTGATATAGACCATCATAGGTATATGTGGCAATGACTTTACCTCTAGAGTTTTCTTGGGGATCAATGACCCTAGTTTCTTTGAACCCACGTATAACGCGAACTGGGATTTGCTCATCCATGCTGGTTTTGAGAGCAAGGTTCCCACGTTCGAGCTTCTGATTTTCAGCAGGTAGCTTCTTATCAAAAAATGAATGGTTTCCTCCATGACCAGAGTACACCAACACATCAGAGCTATCATCAACATCACCCGCATAGCCCCCTGAAGAGACAATACTTGTGGCAAGTGTGATGTTTCCTCGCTTGATGTAATCAATGCCAGCTTGAATTTGTCGATGAAGGCCAACGATGCAAAGCTCAATTCGATAATGAAACTCATCCCCGACTTCGACACCAGGGACCGGTCCCAGTATTTGTTTCCCTGAGTTTACCCACATGTTTTTGTCTTTGAGAAGCCTAGCAGCCTGCAAATCAAGTCGTTTCGCATTTTGACCTAGGTCTTGGTTCTTGCGCTTTGCCTCGTCATCTTGAAGAAGTTTTCTGTAGAGTGCTTGAAACAAGCGTAGTGTCTCTCGAACCTTGGAGCGAGTGGCAACCTCCTCTTGTTGATTGCTGCTGTTCCTCCTAATTCCAACACCAAATGGAATCAGGCTCATACTGAGCTCCCGTGGTTCATCCCCAAACTCATAATCAGGACCCACCAATAAGCTGTCTCCATCTTCATCTTCACCTTCAAACAATTGCATTGCTTCGCCAGCAATGCGAGTTGAGGAGTTCTCTTCCTCATCCATTGTAGCTTCTCCATCAGTCTCCCGAGTACTTGAATTTACCTTCATTGTCGCTTTGCTCTTTGTTTTCTGCTTTGAATTTTCAGCATCAGATGTCCTTTTCAAACCCTTATCCTTGCTCTTGGAAGATGACTTTGGTTTGAAATGTGAGCTGGGGTCTTCCTTCTTTGCACTGGGCTTATTGCCACTAAGACTCAGTGAGGACCTGCGTGTGCTTCCTTTACCTTGCATCCAGGGACAATTCGGTGCAGCCATTAATGCCTGTACAATCACCTTGTCACTGTAAAAGTCCATAGGATCTTCTTCTTTGTCCTGAACCTCGACTTGTCCATCACTTTTTTCAGCAGATTCCATTGTTATCTTGCTCTTAAAACCATCCCCCTTTTTGAGTTTCTCAGATTTTGTAGCCAAATGTTTCACCCGAACTCCATCCTTTTTATGAGATTTCTTAGTCATATATGGGGATTGCTCTATTGGCCGAGACATCTTAGCACCCTCTTTTATGCTCTTGCCTCGATCACCAACATCTTTGTTATCTCTTATTTTTGGTGTGCTCTCAATCTTCTCCAATTTGGTGGGCTTTGTTCTTATCGAGCAAGAAGACTTGTCTTCTTCTTCTAAAGGCTTCCCCTCCTTTGGTTTTTTCTTCTTGGGCAAGACATTGTCCTTCTTCTCCGACATACTCTCAATCCTCTCACATTGTACAGGTTTATCAGCCTGAACTGCCTTAGCATTAGAAAGCTTATTAAGTTCCTCCTCTTCCAAAGGTTTTCCCTCTGTGGACTTCCTATTTTTAGAAGCCATGAATCTCATCCTTTCCTCTATAGTGAGCTTAGGAACATTCCTACCACAACCATAAGGGAAATGCCTAGAAGCTGAGAGATTTCGTGAAGGAAACTTCTTCTTGGCACTATCCTCAACAGCTGAATCGGCTTCAGCTATTGAAACAGATGGTGGCAGCGGTGCCTGTTGATTAACAGGGGAGGAGACCCCCGAGGCCTCTGATCCCAATGCTTCATTCGGTCTATCATGACCAGAAGGAAATCGACTGGAAGCTGAGACATTTCGAGAAGGGGATTTCTTCTCTGAATGATCCTTAATGCTTATATCAGTCTTTATGGGCAATAGTTGTAGAGGTTCCTCTTGATCAGAGGAAGCAACCTTTGAAATCTCCAACCCCAACTCTTCATTTTGCACCGAATCTAATTGAAATTTTTGCTTATCATTTTGAACAGGTTTTGGCTCCAGTTCAAGAAAGTTATCCTTTTGAACAGAGTTCTCCGGTACACCTTCTACACCATTCTCAGTTGAACTCCCCAATGACTTTGGTTGTTCAGGTTCAACAGCAACATTCAAACGTTTAGAGTCATCAATTTTAACCAAAGCCATTTCTTCTGAACCATCCATTGACCTCTGAGAATCCATGACTTCTCCAGTCCTTAATGCCGTAATTCTTGGGGCAAATCTTCCACAACCTCTTGGAAACTTACGAACAGCTGATAAGGTCCTCTTCTTAAAAACAGGGGATTTATCAGAAAAAGCCCCACCGTCAACGCTCTCGAAACTGCGTTTACTTGAAAACCCATTTGATAAATTGCCATTTGATGTTGACGGAACATCCATCAACCTATCCTCGGGCCTAGAAGTAAGGGTGAATTTGAGGCTACTTCCAGCCATTAATTCACGAAAATATAGAAGAACCAAATATATATAGTATCAAAACTTACAGAAGAGATGGGCAATTTGCTGCATCCACAAAGAATCCATTTGCAATAATCAAAAACCCATTTCTATTTCCAACTAATCAACAGTTTCCGAGGGTGACAGGCCCAAATTAGACAGGAACAGCTATCGTTCAGAGACTGCCATGCCCTAATGCATACAGAAGAAGCTATTGTTTTCTGAGTATTCATGGAAAAATAAGGCAAAAACATAAGTTGGGTTCTCTTAAAAACACTGAAATAGATAAGAAATCCCAAAATATTTGAATATAACAGTAGAGAGACAGAATCGAAGGTCGGGTTCAGCATACCTGTGACAGCGGGCATCCACGCGCCTCTCTCTGTCTGTCAATGTGGAAGATTTATATAAGGGCATACACACGCCTCCCTCTCTCTCTCTCTAACTCTCCTTCCCTTTTCTGGTATAAAATATGATCGGACAACTTCCCAATCATCCCATTTAAAATGACCGTCTTTTGAATTTGCCTCTGGTTTACGCTTTACATAGAGTTGTTGAAACAAGACGTAAAATTTAAAGGGTGCCGTTTCTCTAAGGTTGCAACCTCAAACAATCCAAGGCGCACCTTAAAATTTTATCATATAATTTTGTTATAAATTTTTTTTAGTATTATCCAATGGTTTAAAAAACGGATCGGTGATTCGGATCAGGTTTCCAAAAAATCGATCTTGTTCGACGAATCGGCGATCCGGATCGGGAATCGGGTGAATCGGTCAAAATAAATCTTAAAAAAAATTCGAAAAAATTATTAAAATTCATTATAAATATTGTTTTTTAGGAATTCAATAAAAAATGAGGGTACTCCATTAAGAATTTTCATGTTTTTGAATGAATATACGAATATTGATATGTTCTTTCCCTATATGAACCGCCATTCAGCATTTAATTTACAGTATTTCGTGCTCATCCCTACACTGTTGATGTTGGGACTCGATATGTGAATAATATGGCTGGGATAGGGTTGCCTTAGAATCATCATCTCTCTCATTTTCTCTTTGAATAATATGGAATTAAAAAAAAAAAAACAAATTTTCAAAAAAATCGATCATGGATTAAAAAAAAATCACAAATTTTCAAAAAATTCTATCATGGATTACAAAAAAAAATTCGATCATGGA